CCAGCCAGTACAGCCCCAGCGTCAATCAAGACCCCTTCGAAGCTGACGAGCTTTCTCATGGATTCGACCTGCAGAATGGCCACAAGCGCACCCGCGCCCCGCAGCCAGCCGCTCAGAACGGCCACGCAGAAGACCAAATCGCGACACAGCCAGTGCCTAACCGTGCTTCTTCACGCGCGCCACCGCCGCTCCCTGTCAAAGCGGCCTCGAGAAGCAGCAACGAATCACTCCATCGCGATCATTCCACCTCGGCAGACCTCACGCTGACGGACGGTACGCTTGCACTTCCAAAACGCAGCCCAGCCAGACTCGCCGATGGCACGCTCGTGCCCAAGATGCCCCCGGTCCCGCACACCAGTGACCTGATGCAGTCCCGCAAGGCTAAAGCCCGTCGCGATCGCTCGCCCATCCTCTCGTTCGATGGTGGCGCCGCAGAGGAGGAAAAGATGCTCGTCGAGCTCCAGGACAGGCTCGCCAACGACGTCCGTCGCATCAGCACCCTCGGCCCCAAAGTCAAGAAGAACGCTCCGGCGCCCTGGGAGCTTGGCGGTGACGATGCGGTCACTGCAGCCGGACGACCGTCGCTGCGTGAAACGCTCCGCCCGAGTGCCGAGACGTTCGAGAAGCCCTTCTCCAGGTTCAAGACCAGACCCTCGGTAGATCAAGCCCACTCCGGCGGTCGAAGCCCGAACACGGCCCACGCTCCGTCTGGCCTTGTTCACAGCTCGAGCAATGCCGACTCGCTCGAACAGGAGGCCAAGAAGGAAGACGACGCTCAATCGCTCTTCGCCACCCAGCGCTCGCGCTCCAAGAGCGTATCGAGCAGCGCCGTCGGCATGCTCAAAGGCCTCGGTCTCGCTGCGGCTGCCGCGCCCGCCTCCAAAAAGGGCAAGCTCACCAAGGCGTTGCGGCTCGTCGGTGGAGGAGGCTCTTCTGCCAACGACGAGCGCCGCCCTGCCTATCCCGTTTCGGGGCCATTCTCGGAGCACCCAGCAGGCGCCAACGTCACTGCCTCTGGTGCTCAGCACGCACCTTCGCTGGGCTTCGCCAAACCGCAGGCGCTTGGCGAAATGCCGCACAGTCGCTCGTCCAGGACTTTGAACAGCAACGGCCCCAGCGCAGTGCCCAGCAAAAGCACCGCCGATCTCGCCAACATCATCATGTCGGCCAACGCAAAGTACCGAGACCAGGCATCGTCTCCACCCATACCCTCTCCCAAGCACGCCAACGGAACCCTGCCATCCCCGCTGATGGGCGGCGCCCGCTCGTTGGGATACAAGAAGGACACCCTGAGTCCGATCCCAGGCAATTCGTTCCTCACCGAGCAAGGTCGTGGCTCAGGCTCTCTGGAGCAGACCAGGTCGCGCACGCCGCCATCGCGCGACGCGAGTTCAAGGCAGCCGTCCGAGGCGAACAGCGACGTGGTCATGGCGCGTAACAGCAGCATCGAGAGCGAAGGCGCATTTGCTTCGACCGTACCCGAGGGAGAGTCGACTCCCGTCGGCAAAGCGGCGGCAGCAGAGGCGTTTGCGGCTCGCGGCGCACAGGGCTCGCCTGTGGGCCCCAACGGCGGGG